TGGCCCCCAGCAAAGCGGCCAGAAGCAGCAGCGGGGGGTGCGGCGAGAAGGAAAGTTGGAGGGAGGGGGGAGGGAGGGGGAGTTGGGGAGGGGTTGTGGGGGGGAGGGGGTTCCTCTCTCTGGGACTTTGGCTGCTGACGTCTCGCCTTCCTCCTCTGTTTCCCCTCTCGAGGTTCCCAAGAGCGGCTCCGACATCCCAGGAAAAGCCCCCGCCGCCGCCTGGGAGGGGGCACGAGGGAAATGACGGTCCCCGGTCTGCCTTGGACCAGCCCCGGACCTTGGAAGGCCCCGCAGACCCCGCTCTCCTCTGCCCGCCTCGCGACGCCGCCGCTTCCCCCCCCACCCGCCCCGCTTAAAACCCCGATCCTGAGACTTTCGGGAGTTGCTGAGAAGTTGGCGCAGCGGCTGCGGCCCTTCTTACTTCCGACCTCCCTGTCTCCACATTCCCGTCCCGAGCCGCTCCGGGTGTGGGCTGCCTTCTGCCCCAGGAACACCTGCTAGCCGGGAGGAGCCCGGGACCACGCGAAGATCGGGAGCCCCGCCGCTTCTGCCAATCGCCGAGTCCCCGGCTTCCCTTCTTGGAGGGATCGCAGACGACTCAGAAGGAAGGACCGAGTCTACTTTGGCAGCATCGGGAAGAAAAGAGAGGAGCCCCTTCTTCAGCCAGCTCCCAGAGGGTCATCTTCTACCCCAGCAGGCAAGGTTGCCACCTTTGCAGCTTGTCCGGTGCCCAAGAGGGCGGCCTGGGCTGGGCATCATCTGCTGCCAAGAACATGACTGCCAAGTTGGTGATTTCCATGACTGTTTGCTTAATGCTGGCGCTTCAAGGTAAGTGTGCGCAAATGATCTTGCAAATTGCCTGGAGCCTTCCAGATTTTTGGCCAAAGTGGACAGGAGTTCCCAGGGCCCTTTGCTGCAGTGTGGAAAGGCTCTAGTTTTTCCCTGCCTGCCATCACCTGAGTTGCTCAGCATCCTTTTGGGTGGGAATGTCATTCCGAAGCAAAGGAAAGTCTTCCAAAGGAGCCAGGCCAACTCTGTCCTGGCAGGAGCTGAGAATGAAGAAGCTGTGGAATTCAGGAACTTTTGTAGTGCTCAGCTTGCAAAAACTCATCAGCCACACTTGGTGCCTTGCTGAAGGCGCTTTCCTAAAGCGTGGCCTCTATTTTCCAGCTCCGGCTGTTAGCTTGACCTAAAGGGTGCCCAGGAATCAAACTATATACCAAGGATGACCAACCTTGGCAACTTTAAGACTTGTGGACTTCCAACTCCTAGAATTCCCAGTCAGCATGGATGGCTGGGGAATTCTGAGAGTTGAAGTCCACAAGTCTTAAAGTTGCCAAGGTTGGTCATGCTTGGTATATGCCATCAGTGAGATTACTAGATAAAACTAGAGACCAACTAGTCGGTATATTTGTCTTTCCTTACTGTTGCTCGTGCTTTTCTGAATCCAGAGTTTTTGGATTTGTTCACAAATGCCTGAATAATCTACTTGTAGAGCATCCCTTTGCCCAAAGAAGGGACCAAGGTAATCCTTGGCATACTTGTTTAAGCATAAAAATAGAGAACGGGTAAAGGAAAGATGTTTATTTTCCCTTACTAATTCTCACTCAATCTGACTAAAAGGCATTTTGCTTTCCAAGTTTTTCTGAAAGGAGGATAGAATTTCGGAGGAAACCAAAATGTATGGTGTGTGGTCATTTTGACAGTTATTTAGGAGAATTGGGAACATATCCCAAGGCTGGTGGCCTTCTTCTACTTCCCTTAAATCTCAAGAGAAGATTTCAGAAAGGAATTTGCCACTCAAGAATTTTGTTCTTGGGAACTTCTAGATCTCCTGACTAAACGCGGAGAAATTCATCCACCCAAATTCTCTTCTCACAAACTGAATGGAGAACTTTGGAAGTCTTGTTAGGGCCTGGTTTTACCTGGAACTTTGGAGAGACATTTGTCAATGAGAAGAGTCCATTCTCATAGGACAACGAAAGCTATAGAAGGTAGCTTTCACATGTGGATAGCTGAGGAATCAAGGCTCAAAGTCCACCTTGTGGCATCTGCTATTCCCTGATGCTGAAACTCTGCCTATAAGTTTGAAAATTGTGCCATCTGCAAATACGAAGCTGGAAGGACCTAGATTTGACTTGATAGAAGACCAATCCAGGGAACCTAAACATTTGAAAGGGGTTGTAAATTGATATCTTGCCTGAGATGAATTCTACGCTTGATATAGTGAAGTTTTATATCTAATATTCTGCAAAAGAAAGTAAGGATTCTTAGTTTGGTTGTTTTGTTGCACCCCAAACCTTTTTGTTTTTTTACTTTCCAAAAAAGATACTATCTATTGCTGATCACCTGGATTTCCTCTTTTCAGCTCATATGATTTTTTTTTGTATGCTATCCCTATTCCTTCCATTGGTTCCTGAAGAGGGTTGCATTACTGGGTTGACTGTCACAGTCTACTGTTTAAAAAATATACGCCACTCAAACAGAATGATTAATCCCAAAATTGAAGTTGGAATTTCTTGCCTTTTTAAAATCATAACTGCCTTGTTTCAGTCCAGACTATTTGACACCTTGTCCTAATATTGTGCCTCTCTGGAGGCACCACCTGCTGTATAACTTCTTAGGCTAGCTATGGAGAGGCCCCTCCTGCTCTCTGTTCCTTTCAGCTGGAAATTTGGACCTTTTGCAGATCAAGCACACTGGCCCATATTCTCTCTCTAGTCCTAATTTGCATCGCCAGGTTGGGGATTATGTTATGTTATGCTATGTTATGTTATGCTATTTTAAAATGGTTTGATGTAGTGGTTAAAGAATCGGGCTGGGAACCAGGAGATGATGAGTTCTAGTCCTGCTGTAGTGATGAAAGCCATCTGAATAACTGGGGCAATCACACTCTCTCTCAATCCAATTCACTTTACAGGATTATTGTTGTTGTAGGGTGAGAAAGGAACATTAGGTTAGAGAGAGGGAGAGAAAATGAGATGGACCTTGTCAAGACACAGAAGAATCCATGTTAATATGCCATCTGAATTTTTCCCATTCATATATACTGGGGGTAAAATCCCCCCCCCCCCGATTGTTAGGTGTTTCTGTAAGGCTTGGCACAAAAGTCAAGCTGGTGCCCACAACTGTATTTTCAAAGTCCACCTGTTTTTCATATCTTCCCTCATCACCATGCTGGCCACCCTCTTTCTTCTTCTTGTGGATCTGCCTTAAATCCTGGCCACCACTTTGCAGTGCAGATCAGCTTTGTCAACATTCAGCTATTGAAACAACCCATTTCCTAAATTTGCACAATCCATCAGAACTTAAATGGAATACGTGAAAAACAACTGAACCAAGGCGAGATCTCAATAATATGTTGTGCGCATGGGACAACCAGGTTCTTCAGTGGAAGATGGTGGGCCATGATATGGCAGTGGGAGCAAATATACTGTTAATGACCCATAGCTGATTTCATGATAAAGCATTAACATGCAATGGTTACCAACCAGAACATGCAAATGAACTTCTCTGGAAAGCTGCTTTAAAGCCAGGAAGGGAATAGGTCTCTGGAGGTTAATCTGGGATGGCTCTTTCAGATATGGAAGCTGCTGGGTATGAATGTTCTCCATATATGTCTAGAATCGTTCATAAGGTTGTTGGAAAAGGATTTTCTAATTAAACGTCTTTTCAAAGGACGATATTTCTCAAGCTGGAAATTGTTGTGTCCACACATCTTAAAATTGCCGAGCTTGATAAATATTGCTGAAGGGGAAACTTCTCTGGTTGATGATCTCCTGGCAGAACTTCTGCACATCAAAAACGTGGACTAAACCACAACCATACCACATTTAAGCGAGGTGGTGATGGTCTGCCTAACTGATTGCGTCTCGGTCTGTAGCCATGCATGCTGCCTATTAAGCCAGAAAGTTTGGGGAACCCAGAGCAGAAAAGCTGCTTCCCTTGCCTGGGATGAGTGAGGGTTTGGCGAATCCTCCAGCCTAGAGTTCAACTGCTTCAGAGTTCAGTTCGGTTTCCTTCGGAGACAGAAGTATTTCAAAAATGCTGTCAACTTAATTGGGTGGGATTTTTTTCTAGGGATGGTTCCAATTATCATTCCCCCCCACCTCCGTTTTTGGATGCCAAGGGGAATAGAACAGGCCGTCTACAGGTCAATGCCTGAAGATTCCACTAGATGGCAATTCCTCCTAAAAACATTTTTCCAGATGTTGCGTTGGAGAGAGTTGGAGGGGAAACTCCAAGAAGACCAGCCTCTGCTCCATCAGGCTGTGGTTTTGTTCACCATGAAAGCTGCAAGAGAAAGCTCAGATCTATTTGCTTCCCAGCCCCTGATCAGATCAGATCACAAGCACTGTTTTTTTTTTGTTTTTTTGTTTCTTCTAAGGAATTTTGGTTGCTGTGCTCTGATTCTAAATAAATAAATACATAATAAATAAATAAATAAATAAATAAATAAATAAATAANGAGAGGGCTGAAAGCCCTATGAAGCGGTATATAAGTCTAACTGCTATTGCTATTAAATCCCCATATCCATGAGATCTTTAAGGCTGTTGACATAATTAAGTTTTGAAGGACTTCCAAAAGGACATCCAGGATGACCCCTGTCTCTGGGGGTGGTGGGGAGAGGATAGAAAAAGGAGGATGATCCACAGGATGAGCACTGTTGCAGAACAGGACCATCTACTAGATTAACAGAGGGGATCTGTAGCTTGCCTCTTCTGCCAGATCTGATGGGACAGGCAGAAGTAATTGGGAAAAGGTAGTCCCTCAAATTACCTAGCTCCATGCCATGAAGAGGCTTAAAAACAAAGCCAGCATCTTGAATTGGATCCAGAAGCAAATTGGAAATGAATGCAGGTTGTGGATCAGATATGTAACATGTGTCATTCTAGGGTCACATATACCATAGCTGCCCTCACTGTTGCATTTTATACTAGCTGAAGCTTCCAGATTCACTTCAATTCTCTTCAAGGCCTTTTTTAAAAATCTGCTGTGGATTTTCCTACTTTTCCACACATACATATTGCTTAGTTGCTTTGATGGCCACTAGCTACTCCAGAATCTTACTTTGGGAGTGGAAATGGCACAAGGCATTGTCCATGTCAGGGGCAGCTCCATGTAGAGCACACTACAGTAATGCATTCTGGAGGTGACCAGGACATGAGTGATGGTGAATAGGACCTCCTGATCCAGGAATGGGTGTAACTGACACACAACATGAAACTGAGCAATGGCCCTCCTAACCAAAGTGGCCACCTGCTCTTCAAGTAGGAGTTGCAAGCCCAGGAGCGCCCCCAAGTTGTACACTGAGTCTGTCTGAATAGCACAACCCCATTCAGTACCAAATATGACATAGTCCCAGAACTAGAAAGCCTTAGAATTCAGAGCCACTCAGTCTTACTAGGTTTCTGTTGAACCCTGTTATTCCCCATCCAGATCCCACAGACTTCAGACAGCGGGACATCATCAGCATTGCTTAACTCACCAGTGGCAACTATGTATAATTGGGATCATTTTCTCTCCCACCCCCAATCTTCCACATGCCTTCATTGGCTTCTGTCAATGTCTAGCTTTTTGTCATTTATCAGTCCTAACCCTTTGCAGTTATGTATGTTTAATGGCATTTCTAGAACTTCAAAGTATTAGAATTGATTCAATGACATTATTTATTATTATTTATTTATTTTATTTGTTAAATTTCTAGGCCGCCCAATCCCGGAGGACTCCGGGCGGCTTACAAAGAAAGAAAGAAAAAAAGCAAAATAAAAGAATAATTAAAAAATTTCCAACACGCATACATTTCTAATCGGGACTGGACCTTTAC